CAGCGCCTGAGCTTCCAGCTGACCAGTGCATATCTGCAGCGGATCAGCTGTGTAAATGGGACACAAGAATATGATACTGTAGGTGTGGCTTCCGTTCATAAAGGAGAGGAAACAGTTGATTAAAACCTGTTACCCCTGATGTTTACCTCTAAACAGTCAAGACAGCGGCGTGGCACTTTTCCAGGCTTGTGTTTGTTTTGCCAACTGTTATAAACACAGAGGGCTGCTCAGGATGACACGCTTTGTAATGTGTGAACTAGCCACGTCTGTTTGGAACTCCAAGCAGCCTACGGTAAACCTCTTTTGTTAATCATGTAACAGAATAAATATTCATATTGTGTTTTCTTCAATCCAGCTAAAGCCTAAAGTATTAAATCAAAATTTTGGCCTTCCCAGTGATCACAAATAGCTCAAGGTTCTTCCTTGGTCAGAGGCTTCTGATTTATCGTTTGTTTAAAACCTGGTTGATGTGGATCTCAGTAATTCTGCTGTCACCACATTGCTGTTTCATACCGAAGCACGTAAACTGTTCTTTGCCTGTAGAGCGATGTTTGATGAGCCTTACAAAGGTGAAGATATTCATTTCAGTGAAATGTGGTTTTTCGTAAAACTGGTTCTCTCTGATGGGTACTGAAAAGGGCCTTAGAGCTTCTAGGCTTCCAGGAGCGCCAAACCTTTCTCTCGGCCACTCTCTCGGATCAAAGAGACAGGCCTGACTCCGGCCTTGTCACCACACATTCCCATGAAGGGGAAAGAAATCAGGACTGGTGGCACCGTTTTCTAAATAAAATAATATTAATCAGCTAAGCCCTCCGAAAATGAATGGAACAGCAGTGCTGTCAAGTCTTAGACCAGCAGGAAGACGGCGAAGCCTTGTAGGCTAGCGCACGCGGCCTCGCGTCACCATGGCAACAGGGGTCAGCCCATGGTGAGCGGCAGGCCCCGGGGGCGGGCCTAGCCGAGATTGACAGGAGCGGGGAGTGACTCACTCAGGCTGTCGTGTCAAGTCTGCCGTGCAGGCTGGGGGTGTTTGGCCTCTGTCTGGCCTGGCAGCCGGGCTGGAAAATGTGCGTTTGGGCCTTTAAGAAGCCTCCGTGTGGCTCTGCAGCTATGCGCTCCTCACCACAGAGTGAATTCCAGCACAGCGGCTGTTGTCGGGAGCCAATCGCTTTCTTGCAGTTCCCTCTGGGCAGCGGTACAACACATGGGGCTCCAGAGCTCAGATACCTGGGGTGTGATTCATGCCTCTGCAGGCCGGCAGCTCACTGTGGACTCACTTCCTTTCATCTGCTCGTCAGGCCCAGAAGACACATGACACGTACGACACCGCACAAACATTTCTTTCATGATCTTGGTCTCGCTTCAGCGTCTCGGGGCAGACGAGGGGAGAAACGACAAAAGCACCTAATCAGAATGGGCACCCACCTCGTGACCCCTAAAATGTGGAAGAAAGAGACGGAGATGAATTCATCCTGAGGCTTCCAGGACTTCTACATTAGCAATGTGCACAGTTTTTTCAAGAGTTCAAACATTGTGCTGTGTGATGTCGTCTGTAGTGAGCCCGCTTTTGTTTATTTATATTTTTTGTTGTACATTTTAGGTTTAGTTGGAGTACTTTTTTTTTTTGGGGGGGTGAAATATTTATCTTTTTCTCATTGTCTGTGTGTGGGCCGTCAGTGGATGAAGGAGCAGCCCGCGGTGCGTGTGCTGTGAAGGCAGTGTTTGGGAGCATCCTTCTGTGTGATGTAGGTCAGGTGTGGCCTTCGCTGTAGGCCAGGAGTGGCCTTGCCCCTTTCCTCTGCTGATGCAAGGCAGGAGGTTGTTTTTTTAGGTCACCCTGGCAATCTGCTTTGAATTAACAAGTGTATTAAATTATTTTTTATTTAGTACATTCTATGGCGGTTGGAATGAGTGCCTAAACGTGCTTCAGTCCTTGAGGACCAGTGCCAACCGTTTCTCACTCCACTGAATGTTCCCAAGTTAAAAGAGCCAAAATAACGGCCTTTCTTCTAGAAACAGAGGATTTAAACAGGATCAATGAATCCTGTTGGGTCATGCCTTTTCACCAATGGAAACGTCTGTTCCAGCCTTTTGTGCTAAAAACATCTTATGAATATTGCAAAGGTTACCGATGAGAAGAAGCCATTGGTCCCATCTAGCTCTGTTGGTTGCCTGCAGGCATTTGAGCTGTGGATTTTGTCTAGCCACTCCTTGGAAGAAGCCCGATTTATCATAAAAAATATGGCTATATCCTGTAAGTAGTGTTCCATACTCCCTCAACCCTTTGTGCTCAGTGGTGCCAGCCTTTGAAGTTACTCTGAGGTCCTGCTTTGTCCACTTGTGCTTTGTCCACTGTTCAAAGCTGAGAAAGATTTAGCTCAATTCACCTGTCAGTGTAGGGTAGACGTTGCATCAATTTTGTGTCGCGTTTTGCTTTCTGTTTAGTCTCGGAGGATCAGCAGGGTTTGTGTGGGACGGACTGCACCCGCACTGTATAAAACTCATGAGTCCGTATTCTAAAGCCTAGCCGCAGTATGCATAGATCTTTGATTTCCCCCTGGTGGGTGTTCAATAGAAAGCAATCAAAGATTCTGGCTTGGCGGGGAGTTCTGCCCAAGAACCTTAGTGTTTGGTTCATATTGGTTGCTTTCTGCAAAAATCAGTTTTACGTTTTGTGGGGTTTTGGAGGAATCAGCTGGAATACATTCAGTAGTGGGAAGCCCCTCCCCCCATACAGTTTTGTAGTAATCATTCAATCAGAAAGTCTAAATCTCCTGTGTTTTACTCCCCCAGGAATGAATTTGGCTAATGAACGTTTGTCCATTCTCTCTGCTGGAGCAGTACATGTGTGGAATGTCTGGAAACATTAGTCACCATCACCAGATAAATTATAGGTTGCGTTAGCATACTTACACTGGTATCTTTCTTTTCATCTTTCTTTCAATTATGTACTTTAAAAAAGGAGAACTTCCTAGTTTTTTCTGGCTTAGTGTCCTCTTTCCTGAAGTCACAAGGTTTTATTCTTTCTCTGTGGTTGGAAATGAAATATGACTCAGCCTACAATTTAGACACGTAGCCTATTAAAGATTTAACTTGCACTCCTCTGGTTCTCTATTAGCCTCTGCCTGATGTGTGTGATATCTGAGAGCTACTTATTACAGTGCCATCAGTGCCAATCATGTGGCAATTGAGGAACAGAAATGTTGACACATCAAGAAACATCTATATCCTCTTAAATTCACATACCCTTCAGTGAAAAATGGTTAGCACTTAAGAGGGAAAAAAAGGAAGTCTAAAGCTCCTGCCATCATAGAAATTATTTCGAAAACTAAACTGACAGCCCTAAAGATGGACTGAAAGCAGAAGAGATTTAGCTAAGTGTGAGAATGTAACTTACACAGATGATTTGTGATGCAAATTAGTCTTGGTGTTAACACAGAACAAAGGCTGCTTCTCTTTTTTCTGTTATAAAACATTATCTGTGTCGTAGATAACGAGGCATTGGCTTTGATGCGACATTGCAAGATACAAGAAAAAAAAAGTTGCAAATTGTAGTTTTGTAGCTGAAAAAAGAAGCCGCGTGCTGCCTTTTAACCACAGTCATGTCCTGCTCAGATGTGTTCACCCCGAACTGGGGGGCTTATCACCCTCGGTCCACATGTTCTCCGGATGGCAGAACACACACGTCTTTGGAATTGTGGGGCCCAGGATCCGCGGGTGGCTCTGTGATTCAGGATCTGCGCCTGTGACTGGAAGGTTGCCGGTTCAAATCCCGTGGCCGGCAGAGGAATCCTACTCCGTTGGGCCCCTGAGCAAGGCCCTTAACCCCAGCTGCTCCAGGGGCGCCGTATTAAAGGCTGACCCTGTGCTCTGACCCCCAGCTTCTCTCCCTTTCTGTGTGTCTGTGCCTCATGGAGAAAAGCTGGGGTATGCGAAAAGACGAATTCCTAATGCAAGAAGTTGTACAGGGCTAATAAAGAAACATTATTTAAAAAAAAACCCGTCACCAAGTGTCCCGTGTCCCTCTGGGAGGTGGCAATGAGCTCGCCTGCCCGAGCTGGACCTCTGGCCCAGACTGTGCTCCACTCCAGAACAGGGGTGTACTTCCACATCGGCAAGTCATCCGTCAGCGCTGGAGCCCGAAGAGCAGGGGGTTTCCAAAGCGAGGCGTGTCGTTCTGTTTCGGATGTCTTGTCCTCCTGTCTTCGAGAGGAGAGGAACAAGAGGCAGGGGGGTGGAGAAAGCGTGGAGGTCTTGCGAAATGTGGTCAGTGTGCTCTTAGGGCTGGATGAAGTAGACCGAAGCTAGAAATGGGAACTGCACCTTAGCTAGAGAGTGAGAAGAAAGGCACGATGTGATGCAGAGGGTATCCCACTTGACTGACTCCGCTGTAAGCTTCCTCAGCTGTAATGGGGACCTTATGGTGAGGAAAGATCTAACTACACCTCTGTGGTCTAGCTGCTAATTAGGAACCTGGAGCCGAAGCAGAGCTGTGCAGTGAGCTACACTGTGGAACAAAGCAAAAAAAGCCTGATCACATTACTTTTAAGTTTTACTGGGGTTTTCTTTTAATCAGCCTTTCCTTGAAATAAACAAAACAAGACTCTCGGCAGGCTTAGCTGGGGAGATGCCATTCGGAGTGCAGATAGAACTCCGCAGTCCAGACGCTGCCAGCACGAGTCTGTCCAACACGACCCACAGGCCAGGGGTGGAAACTGCAGGGAAGTGCCTTTACTCCAGGAGACTGCTTCCTTGTGAAGGAAGGGTTGTGGGAGTCTGGGACAAGCTACCCACACTGCTTTCAGGGGTCGTCTGGATGCTGTGCATTGAATTGATTAATGTACGCATAAGCAGGCAAGCCAGATAGGCCAATGTAGTGCAGGTACTGGCAACTGAAGAGTCTGTTGGCTCCATGCTGCAGCTGTCTGCTTTGAAAGCCACAATGTGCTACGCACTGGGTGCCAAGATAATATTTGATCTTTCTTCCTTTGAAATTTCAGGAATTGCCAGGACACCAAGCGGAAGGCTCAGGAAAGTGTCGGATCCCACAAGCCCAAGTAAGTCCTGATTCGACGTCGGCTGAGGTTTTTGTCTCTTGGGGAAATGGCAGAAAAAAAGCAGCACATAGAGCTGTGGTGCTTCACGATACGCATCACAGAAGACTGGGGCAAAGCGTGGGAAATGTGCAGTAATAAGCATGGGAAGAGGTAGCGGGGAAAGTAACAGGGCAGATAAAAATCCAGCGCGCTGCCGGTGTGTGATTTATCCAGGACGGAATTCATCCATCATTCCTTGGGAGGCAGCTGGTGGCAGTGCTTTAAGAATAGCAAAGCCAGCCCATTGGGCTGGACTCGTGCACGGATGGGGTGGAATGCTGGCACGAGGCTGCCGTCCGCGGTCACAGCGCACCGCGGAGGCATGCCTTCTGGGGTGGGAAGAGCAAACGTCTTCCTGCACCATCAGCAGTTCTGTCAGCGAGGCGGGGCGGGGAGTCACGAGCTGGGGCTGTCCAGATGTGAAGCCTGCCCTCCTTCCCCCTTTTCCGTGCACTCACATCTGAAAGACGGACGTCTCCAGCACCGTGTGTCTCGGGCAGTGGTTGGGAACACGCATCCTGTCCCAATCCCACCACGTCTTTAAATAAAGCATTCCGTCTTGTGCAGAACGCTAGACCTCCTGCCAACATAAAGTCATCCCTCAAGAGGAGAATTCGCTTCGGTGCGGAGGCTAATTGTTCCCCAGCCTTTAGGCGTTTCGGCTCCTTTTGCCCTTTGTAATGTACCTGTCTGTTATTATGAGGGCTTGCGTGTTCTTGCCAGTGTAATGTGGTTGTGTAACTAGCATGTTCCCAGCTGGGGTGTCATTAAGTTGGGCAGAGTGTGCGGCGGTCTCTACAGCCAGCAGCTTCCACTGGAGGGAGGTGTTGACAGGTACAGTATGTGCGAGGGCTACATCGTGTCGATAAAGACCGAGGCCGATCCTCCAGTATCTCCAACCACACCATCCCTGGAATGTCAGCCCCGTTCAAGAGGAGGGTGGGGCCAAGATTCCTCATGACAGGATAGCGCAGAAGCCCCCTCTGGCAAAGCACCGGAAAACCACATGCTTACCGGTTAAAGAGTAAGAAGTGCTGTTACTATTTCAGATGTGTGGACATGGATCAGACAGATTTTGCTTTCCCTTCTAAGCTCCGGTGACTCTGTGGGGTCATTGTCACTGACCCACATCAAAACACTTTAAAGGTTTTTTTTGTTGTTGCTTTGGCCGGTGGCCACATTTACAGTAGGTAGCTGCCCTTGTTCTCACGTGTTAACAGTATGAGACCAAAATCATTAGAAGAGCTTCCTCCTGTTCTCGGGTTTTGTGCCGCGCAAGAGCAGCCTTTTCTCCTCCTGTTGGTGGTTTAAGTGCAGCCTTTCTCTGGATTCTGAAATAAATACGTTCATATTTTGGAAACCTTGAATGAAAACCTGAAAAAAAAATTAAAAAAAGAAAAGAGTCTGATTGTGTCATTAAAAATAGTCGTGCAGTTGAGAAGTACCGTGTTCATAATTTGGGAGGAGTTTAATAGCAGGTGAGGTTTATGGACCCCCTGGGTACATTTTAGAATAAGGTCAGAAGGAAATCCAAGATTTATTTATTTCTGGGGAGGGTGTGAGTCACCTGCAAGGAGTTCCATGTGCCACAGAGCATCACCCACCTTGTTAATCAATAATTGCAGCCCAGTGGCAGGCCTGCTGGATAGTCATGGACACTGTGTCTGGCCCAGCTGAGAACCATTCAGTAACCCCTCACACACATAAAATAAACATGCTGTCTTCTGTGGGAGAGCGGGGTTATCTGTTTCGTGCATTTTAAAATAAACCATTTGCTCTGTCAGCTTGAACACATCACACTCTGGTACCATTTTCTGGTTGTTTTGATCGTTTGAACAGCAGTTTTTCCAGAATGTTTTCCAGAGAGAGAGGGAGAGAGAGAGAGTAAGTCTGAGCACAGCGCAATTTTTGTCTTAAACAATTAGAGTGATGGAGAGAAGCCTGTATGTAAACAGTATAGGCTGCCTCATTTGATTTGGTTTGTGGATTGGCCATGATTCAGACACGATAAGAAGGTAGTAAACTCTACCTCTCTTGATAGAAATCCTCATCAGTGAAACACATATTTGAGAAGATGACCCTGATCAAATGGATAACACACCACAGTTACACTAAACAGGCTTCAGTATGTCCAGAGTGCACTAGCGTGTGTACTTATTTAAAACACATAACTCCAATCCCCTATAGATTGCACTGGCTCCTAGTGCAATTCAGAGCATTTAGAGATTTATTTTAAGGTTCTTCTGCTATTGCATTACTATAGTCCCGCAGTTCACCTTCAATCTTCTGTTTCAAGTCTTCGACTCTACCAGGGATCAGACTCCACACCGCGGGGAAGTGTGTTTTTAACTGCAGTGCCATAACTGGACCTCTACGACTGTTACTAGGATCTATATTTGAAAACTAAAGTGTGCATGTGTGATTTAAAATCTTTTTGCCTCTGATATTTATCCTGTGTGCTATTATACAGAGAGGGCGTTTATTATTAAAATGTATCAGTCTTATTATGGGAAGAGTTCTTCAAGAGATTTAGGAGTTAGGAAGATGCTCAGGAGGATATCATCCCATTCATACCTGTTACTCAAGAGTGACACATACAGCATTGGGGACGTGGTGCGATTAACAGACAGCTGATCTTTTCTGAAAACCATTTTGGAGCAATTTTGTTTTTATTTTAGAATAAGAAAAACAGAAAAATGCAGAACTGTGCCACACCTTGTCTCCCCCCAAATCTGTCGGTACCGATCTACGAGGTCTGTACCCCAGGACCCTGAAAATGAAGTCAGATGATAGACGTAGTGTCCAGAAAGAACTTGGCCATCCGATCCAGGCCAGCCTCGCTGCAGTCGTCCTCCCTGCAGAGAGCGGTAGAGAGCTCCTTAAAAATAATCCCAAGAGAGCAGGATCCACTGAAATCTGGGGAAGATCAAGTCTTCTAAACTGATCATTTCTGGTTTGGCTGTGTCTTAAGCCCTTAGTGAGTCACAGTCTCATTATGTGATCTTTAACCTGTGTGAAATGTAATGGCCACATCAGAGGGGTCAGAGTGCATAACCTCTTGCCTGAATAATAGCACTATTTCAATAGCACTTATCTGTGCAGTTCAGATAACCTTGCTGCACTTCTGTCTGTTCCTGATGCAACACTTCAGAGGAGCTGGCGCTTAGCTGTTTAGCTGTGCCTTGGTTAAAAACTTCTCCTAGCGAGTAGGCTTGCAAACCGTCCCTCACATGAGCGCGGTGTGTATCGAGTGGCTTTGTCTCAGCCCTGTTATTGCAGGCTGTCAGTAGCCCCGAGCTCCGGAGAAATCAAACAGGAGACGTTTTGAATTTTCTTAGCCCTCTGGCGATGAGTGGAGTGGGTTATTTTGGGCTGGGGAGTTCAAGTCACATGGCCTCGGTTTTCCATTTCAAAGACACAATGCTGCTTCAGTGTCAAGGCAGAAAAGAAAGAGACGCAAAAACTCCATATGATCAGCACATGGCAATGTGGTAATTTTGGATGCATTCATTATCGCAACAGATTGAAGAAATTAGACTGAGAAAGAGAGAGAGAGTGAACAAGTGAGCGAGAGAAGGCAGAGAGAGCGAAAGGGGAAGTCTCCAAAAAAAAATTTGAGGGGAAAAAAAGGCAGACATTACATGTGGCTTCTGGAGGGTGTGAACTAGTTATGGAGGGAGACAAAATTGCAGGTAGGTTTGTGGAAATTCTTCTTTTCTGAACCTGAGTGGCTGCTTTTCAGGGTTGACGTTTTCTCTGCTTTATTTTGTCCTTGAGTAATCTGCAGTGGGCAGAGTTCAGCCGCTGCCTGTGTCTCAGACCAGCACACAGTCAGTCTGCATTTTATTTGGCTGCAGTGTTCAGGCAGACACCAAGCTAACGCACCCTGCCTGCCTGCCTGCCTCTGAACAGCCAGAGAGACTCCCTGGGATTGTTCATTGATCGAGTTTTTACCGGAGTTTCACACTGAAGCAATTCACGTATTTGGTGACTCCGGGCAGTGTCTGAATTGTACTTTATGGAGTTTTCTTTAACTTCTGCATTGAGTTCAAATAGCAACGCTGAGTAGGCAGGAAGAGGGCGGCTGTCACATACAGCAGTCTATACATTCCTTTTTTGTATGCCAGTGCATGCTGGTGCACTGTTCATTACTGGCATGAAAAAATGTATTTGTAGAAAAGGAGTTGCAGATGAATTTGGTGTTCTGAACTTGCACAGTTGTTTATCGTTGTTATTCATATATATTAGATTGTTTCCTCTAGTGTTTGAAAGGACAGATTAACTCTACAGCTGTATATGCTTTGTTACACACTTTGGTATACATTTGGTGTCGTTACGCACTGTTGCAAATGTGTATATAAACTGGACTTAATTGGTCATTGTTGGGTTTATGAGAAGAACATTCCACTGCTGCTCAGTGGTTTGAACGCATATGTGCATAGCTGTAAGGCATGCTTTACTGTAATTGTATGAGTGGTAATAAGTATGTAATGTCCTTTCAAGTCTGTGCCACACCTACACTCATTGTTTCATGAAGGATGTGCAGTTCCAAGCAGAGCAAGCAGCACCAGGTACAATTCAGTCCCCAGTGATCTGGTGCTTCAACAGGGGAAATCAGAAGACAGCCTGTAATCATGGGTGTCCATCCCTGGTTCTGGAGAACCAGTGTGTCTGCAGGTTTTCTAAGTCTCCGTAAGAGACCTTAATTGGTCAGTCATGAGCTGGTTACGCTTGTGGAGTGCCGATCCACACTAATATGAGTGGACCTGAACTGGACAACCCTGCTGTTTCTCTTGGACGGACAGCTGATCGGCCCCCTGCATCAGGACTGTAGTTCAATCCCATCGGACATGGTGGGATTTCTGACTCATGCTCCTCTTTATTCGTGACTTCCCCTGCAGAGGTTTGGTACTCATGAAGGAGTGACGTGGTGATAACGCTCAGGAGGAGCTGGAAAGCTG